GGAAACATTTGTAAATATAGTTTTCCTTGAAATGTGTGATTTGCTCTCGTGTAGCGCCTTCTATCGACGAAAATTTTAAGTTTCTCTTTTTTTTACCAAAAAATTTCATGAGAATAATTTTTTCGCAAACTGCGGTAAGTTCTACCCATTCCTTCAATATTTATAAATTTTTAAAATATTTCCAGACTTATGGGGCACCCTGTATTTTTAAACAATATAGCTTGACTTGGTAGTTTGAAGAGAATTTACTGTAGTCACACTCAATAAATAAGATTGATTTTGATCAGGTTTCTGAAACATAAGAAGTAAACAAGTCCAGAAAATTATTTTGCTGTTTTTATTGCTTTTGTTAATCTTTATTTGCAAACGGATAAAATATTCAGTATATTTACAAATATATGTTGTGCGCATCTGTCAATACTGCGCGTTTCATTTGTAAAGTCTTCTGAAAACACATAACTGAAGAATTTTGACTTTGGTCTAAAGTGACTTCCGACAGAAACCTGAGCACATCGTAACGAGGTATATATTAACTTAAGATTGCGTTACATTGGGGCGTTTTTTATTCTGTAACTGTTAGGTTTGAGTTTCAATTAAGAAGTTAAAATTTTTTCGCAGCAATAAAAATCTACTTTAAGCACAAATATGGATCGAATTAGTATGAAAATGCATTTTAAATATAATTATAAAATGAAAAAAACATACCCGTACAAAAAAAGCAATGAACAAAAACTGGTGCAATTTTTTAATTCTAAATTTAAACTAAAAATTTTAAAATTAATACAGATCAAGATTTTTTAAAGCTTTGTCTTTCCGAAAAATGTTAATTTGTTTATAAGGTATTTTATCACTCCTTTCTGCATGCTTTTGCGGTATAAGTGGAAGCACATTCGACGCATATTCGAGATGTAAAGGGTTCGAGTACCGGGGAGGGCATTACACATTTTTCAGGTTCCCTCACATCAAAAAATTCTAAACGACTCTACATGTTTATTAAACAGAAATCAACTTTAGTTTTATTAACTTATATGAATAAGTACATATTTAGAAATTATAAATATGTGAGATGGGATTCTTTAATCAAATTTGAAATGGTTAATTTCTGTTATCTATAGGGCTTCAACTTGCGTAAATGCACATCATATCTAGTGTAGTCAGATCACAAAGGCAGAAAGATCATAGAACATCGTAGCTTATGGATGTGATCAGTCTTCTACCCTCTTTCGAAACACGTATTGAAGGAAAAAATATTTTAAATTGAAGATAGTGTGGTATGCTGATTATTATTTGCTAGTTCTTCGGTTATTTTGCATTAAAGAAAAACATTTGATTCTTTTTAGTGATAAAGAAAATTTTACGAGAATTAACACTATCTTTTATTAATTTCAGCTTTATTTGTGTACCATCATAAATTGTTAATGTATTGGTAATTCATTAATATGATAAAAATTATTTTTCAAAATAAATTGCTGATTTATGTTCACGGCAGTTTTTATAATGGGAGCTAGAAAAGTAAAGTAAAACGCTTCTTTTAAAACTACTAACTTCGGATAACAGTTAATGCTAATATGTATGAAATAAATATCAGTCAATAACAAACGTACACGTTAATTTAATTTAAGAAGTCTAAACATAGTCCCTAAATTAAAAAAGAAAGAATACGGTTTGAATTTATTAAGTGTATTCAACCCTAACTGAATTTGTAAATTAATCGAATCTTCATAGTTTTGTGTTATTCCAGTTTGAGAATTTAGTAAAGTATGAACTCAGGATTAGGCACTCATGGATTCCCACACAGCAAATGTGAAAACTTTTCTTTAGAAATCTGATGACTTTTAGCATGGAACAGACCAAAATTCGCTTTAGAGGGAATTGTGTAGTATTTCTCTTGGACCGTTATCTCTCGCAACATATACTTTAACTTAGATATTTCTAAATTTAGAATGATGCGTATATTCTTGTCATCATTGCTGTACTGGTCTGTTTCTTCTTGGCATGATAATTAATTCAATATTTATGCATCTTCTTTAGTAATACAGAGTAAAAGAGAATATCACATAAGCTTATTAAAATGCTTTACAAGCTAATAATAACAGAATCAGATATTTTTATTAAAGGCAGTTATAAATATCATGCTACAGCACAGCAAGTGATTAAGCTTTGTCATCTTTCAACCGAGGATTTCGTTTCCGAATAGAATGTCAACAAACGAGGGTAATTATTACACTCTTTAATGTGCTAATTGAATACTGATTTACTGTTCTACTGGGCTGAGAATGGTGAGTTATAATAATTATATGTGAATTTGGACTGATAAACAGCAGCGTTCTGTTAGCTGTGCTTCGTGAATCTAATGACAGCGAAAATTAATAGTTCTCCCAGCAGATGATTGAATTAATGATGGAATATTTGACAGCATGTTTAGACAAGAGGATTATGGATTACTTATATGTTATTAAAGTCATTAAATATACAGCAAATTCACCGAGAGATACACACGGAGAATGAACTCGATATAAACCTATATTAAATGAGGAATATTGTAAGTCAATTTCAGGTTTGTTGGCAATATTACTTGTTAAGTAGTTTTGCATTTGCTTAGCACATTTCAATGTAAATTATACTAGTTACAGCTCAGTGTAATTCAGTAAAATGTGAACGTTATCTATGTTTGTTATACATTATTCCATAACTATGTGAATAGTTGAATCCTTTAGAGTTTGGTATCTGTATTGATTTTTAAATATGAGAATATTAGTCTTTCGTAGACATATAATCATGAATAAAACAGTAGTTATATTTTACTTTCTTTGTTTTCTTCGATTTTTTCTTCAAGATGAATAACGTCAGATTTGAAATATGTAATAATAATTAAGGCATTAATGATAAAATCTATCTATATATTTATTTATACATGTAATCTCTGAGACAAATTTAATTAATATCGAATTAGAAAGCCGTTAGTAATGGCAAATTGTCCCAACTTCAATTTCTGATCATAACGATATGGCTACGAAGATGTTTCATGAGTTTTCTTACATGTGATAATAATACTTAAGTGACTTATAAATTTTTTAGACAGGAAATTTAAGAAAATATGCTCTAAAAGCAATTATTTGTTAGATACGTAAACTTGACCGCTTATATGTCAGCAGACGATAACTTATTGTAATAACTGAAATTTTATTTATCGGAGAATTATAAGGTGTTTCTCCCGCCTTCTTAGCGAGCCTTCGTGGTGTAGTGGTTGCACACTGGACCGGTATTCCAGAGGTCCGCGGTTCGATTCCCCGCGAAGGCGTTGTTAATTTTTCATGTTTCCTGCTTCCAAAATACTTAATGTCTCTACAGTGGCGCCCGAACTAAAAGGGTGCTGTATGAGAATTCTTCACACCCAGGATTTGACGACTGGGTACCCTAAAAACCCCAGTCTCCCTTTAAAAGGGGAAGTATATAAGGTGTTTCTCCTGATTTCTTAGCTAGCCTTCGTGGTGTAGTGGTTTGCACAGTGGGCCGATATTCCAGAGGTCCGCGGTTCGATTCCCGGCGAAGACGTTGTTATTTTTTCATCTTTCCTGCTTCCAAAATATCTAATGTCTTTACAGAATACCTTTTGAAAGAAATGGAGTTGACACAAAAGCATTATTGTGCTGTGATTTTTCGATTTTAAAATGGGGTTAAATTAAGATGAATGACAACGTTTACAATTAGCGCATGAAATGAAGTTCTGTCTTATGCTACTGCATTCAGATGGCTTACGTATAGATATTACACTGCATTCGGATGGTTACGCTTTTCGTGTCGAAATTCTCTCCTAGATGAAAAACACATTCGAAAACCTTTGTCAGCTGTAGTCTCAGAAAATGTATCGGCCATATGAAAAATGTTAATCAATGAAAATCGCTATGCCTACCAGTGACACAGAAGTTTAATATTAGATCCATAACTGTACATAAAATTATTCGTAAAATCCAAATGAAAAAATAAGTTTGTTATTGTATCCTCCATTAATTAGTAGAACACGAAAATGCGGAGCGTATCAGAATCAGTAAAGAAACCCTAAAATTACTTAATATTGTTTGACACAGCATTATTTCAAAGTCATAACTGGTGACAGAACATACCATTTTTTGATGCTCCAACATTCCAAAAAGGTAAAATATGTGTCTTTGAAGATGACACTCTAACAAATAATGCTGAAAAGATAATGAGCAATGGAAATAAAAAAAAAAAAAAAACTAATGTGTTCTGTTTTCTTCAGAAGTACAGGCCTGCTCAAAGACATAAAGCTAGAGGGATAGAAATCAACCACGGTTAACTTACAGAAATTGTCCCAAAAGTAAATATAAGGGGACTCATGCTTTACCATGATAACGTATCTTCTCATTCAGGAAGATTGAGAGTCGAATTTCTCGAACAAAAACACATTAAAGTGATAGAACACCCACCCTATTGTCTTGATCTTGTTATGTGTGATCTTTCGCTATTTTTAGTCTAAAATAAAACTTACGTAGCCGCATTTTCATTCCAAAGATGAGATTAGTGAAAGTTTAAAAGCATATTTTTCATCGATTCCCAAAAAATAGATGGTTTGAAACATTTAATCTCTCGAAAATTCGTCTACAAAAGTGCATTGATATTTAAGGAAATTATATTGAATATGCCGAAAATTTGGTAAGTTTAACTTGCATCACTTAGTTGCATCTAAAAGATTTCAGAGTTCAAAAGAGGCTTTTCAGATGTAGAGACATTAGATATTTTTTGGAAGCAGGAGATGTGAAAAACGAGCAATTGCCTTCGCCGAGAATCGAACCACGGACCTACGGAATACGGGCCCAGCGTGCAGAACCACTACACCCCGAAGGCACGCTAGGAAACTTGGAGAAATACCTTATATACTCCCCTTTTTAAAGGGCGACTGGGATTTTTAGGGACCCAATCGCCAAATTCTAGGTGTGAAGAGTCATCATCCACAGCCCTTTTAGCTCGGGCGCCGCTGGAGAGATATTAGATATTTTTTGGAAGCAGGAGATGTGAAAAATGAGCAATCGCCTTTCCCAGGAATCGAACGACGGACCTCTGGAATACCGGCCCTGCGTGCAGAACAACTATATAGAAGGCACGCTAGGAAACTAGGAGAAATACCTTATACAGAAATAAAGAGCACTCGAATTTCTTTAGTAAAATTTTAATTCGTTAAATAGAATACTTATGTATGAATTTAAGGTTTTATCTTTTGTTAACACAAATATCTGCATAAATAAACCAAATTCAATGTAAGTGAGAGTAATCAATGAAAATCTGTAAAATGCTGAAATTGTAACAATTATTACCGAATTACACAGCCTTTTGATTAAAATGATGAATAAGAAAATACTGAAAATTTTAACATATATAGGATATAGTTAATCTAATTTGAAAAATAAAATTATTTTCTTCATTTTTCCTTATTATTAATTTGTCTAAATTTTTCGTTAATTGTAATTAAGATTTTTGAGAATTTATTATAGAGTACAAATTATAGTTATTACATGTTCATATGAAGAAAACTTTCTCTATATGATTTCATCTTCCGTTTATTCTAGGTGTTAATAATTAATTTTGAGTATTTAGAAATATACGGGGAGTAATTTTGTAAATTTATCATTTTATTTCAGTTATAACGAGTAGAGAATAAAACGCTTCTTTGTGAGGGGTTATCGAATTCTCCCGTACGAACTGTCGTGATTAGCACTTCTAGATGGCTAATTGGTAGATTCAATGCTTCGAACCCCGCCGAGAGCATAGTTTTTTTTTTGGGGGGGGGGGTTGTTTTCTGGTCTGGAATGTACATCGGTTTCTACAGTGAAGTCCAAAGAAGGGTATGGTTGACTATATTTCATCAAGCCACATAAATTTGATCGACTGAGGGTCGTGCTTCTCACAAGCCGCTCGTTAACTGGTGGAAAATTTAAGGAATTATCGCACTTTTTCTGTTAGTGTCCTCAGGGTGTAAGTGGTAAACACGGCCATATAGAAACTAGAAGGTCCGTGATTTGTATGAACACAGCTAAATTTTTATATCTCTTGGTCCGAAACATCTAACGATCTCTACAGCTTGACTTTTGATTTACTCATTTATTGCTATAAAAATGCAAAAGAATGTGAGAAAACCACTATTATCACAATTTAAACAGAACTGGCTTGAGTAATAAACTTGTGTTTCGCTGCCTTTACAGAGGAAAAAAAAATTACAGCCTTTTAAAATATATAAGTCCCCGAAGTAATTACCATAAGTTGTTGCACATATTATTAGTTTAAGACATTACTGAATAGCAAACATATAAGTATACATAAGTACAATAGTACATTTACCATTACTAGTAGTTAATTAAAATATTCACATTAATAAGTAAAGAAATTAAAAATTTCCTGATAAAACAGAAATTTTGCAAAAGGTTACAGAAAGATCTTGCAAGGAATACATTTCGAAACAACATTTGAGTTATATGTTAACAAAGATGCACCCCACACCTATTTAAGAATGGAACCACAAAGGGTAGTTTCGAGTGATGCATTAATGGGTATCAGATCAGACAATACCGGGGTGCTTCTTTCCATTCCTAACGCTGAAGATTTATCTTTTCATCTTCTTTCTTTGCACCCAGGATTTGGGTATCTATTTATAAAACTCTGTCTGTTGGATAGAGGAATAAATAAGGAGCCGAACTAAGGAGAGTATCAGGATCAAAGGGATTGTGAACTTAGCACCTATGTCATTTGATGATGAAGTACAAGTTCCTGTTCCATAAGTATAATGGGCACAGTGCTCGTGTAATAATGGGCTTGTTATCCGGTCCAGATGCTGCTGCAGAAAATCTGCTGCTTCATGCCCGCAGTCTTGACTCACGTGAATGTATTTGCACAGCACAAATTCTCCAAAAGCACTGTAAATGAAATACAAAGAAATTATGAAGAATAAAAAATATAGCAATATATTATATAGCTTCAAAGTATGCAACCAGTATTATATGAATTTAACTGCACCTTACTTACACTTAATTACTTACTTAATTAATTGCGAAAGAAAAGTATTAAAAATAAATACATTTTTCTATAGACATTAGAATATGAAATGTAATTTAGCACAACACAATCTCATATATTTAGCCTAATCGGAGAATTATACCCTGAACTTGTAGTGCTGACATACTACAAAAAGTTATGCCTACATGTTTTCCCCTTGTACCTATGTAATATTTAGAGCTATTTCTGTTACAAAACACAATGTTAGATTTTTCTGAAATTTTGCATTGTTAACCTTTTAAGTGCCATCATATTGTTCTCACCTTTATTTTAAACGGCATTCTTATTAGACGAAACCTAATGGTAGCCTTTCAATGTTAGGACATCTGAAGCTTGACAATAGTAATTGTCCTTAAAGGAGGGAAAACGTTATGATATCACCTTTATGTGGATTCTATGCGTTATACTGAATTATCCGAAAAGTTCTGTTTTTTAATGATAAATACAAATGAAGCAAAACAAAAACATAAGAATTTTTCATTGAATCACTGTTTAAAGTACCATTTTACGCTGTTTTATGCTATGGACTTTTGCCATCTCTCAGGCAGGTGGAAAATTCCTTTTTAAAAAAAGTCATTAGATTTATTCGCAAAGAAGATATAGACGTGCTGTTTGACAATTTCCAATGAAATGAATCAAGTCATTCAGAGAATTTTGAAATGACTTGAAGAGATGAAAATCCGGGATGCCAAGGTCTACTGAATATGCGAGGGTGAGACAAAACATCTCAGCCATACACAATAAGTTTTTGTCTGATATTCATCGAAATGTGGGGTCGAGCATTTTCACGATGAAAGACAACATTGCAATGACTGATCAGCTCTGGTCGATTTGCTTCGATTTATGCTTTTAAAACTGCTGTTTGAGAACAGAAGCTTTTTGAATTTATTGTCTGATTTGATGGCAACAATTTATAGCATATAATTTCTTTATAATTCTACCATACAGAAAGCTTTACGTTTTTGAAATGCAGCGCCCCTCTCGATGTTGCTAAAGGAGGTTCTTCTGCCTTACCCCGTGATATTTTCTTATATATATCCAGCAATGATCTGCTTCAAAAAAGGAGCTCGTTTACTTTTTCTCAGTAAAAGGTCTCATGCCCAAACTCAAGCAAGCATATTCTGCTATGTTAAAGTATGTTGTACTTATGTACTATAGTGTACCCACTCTTCTTCAAATGATCAGCTACATGAGATAATTTTGGAATATTTATTCTGTCTGATGGTTCTTGAAATATATAACTTGAATTTTCAAAGAATGCTTCTTTCAAACAGACCCTTGTTTACAGAGGATGGTCGGCCAAAGAGGACATAATCTTCAAGGTTTAAACTTACACTCTTGAACTTTTCAAACCAGCTTCCAGCTGTGTAAGAAACAGCACGTTTTCCATACATAGCACAAATTTTATGAGCAATATGACTAGCAATTTTTTCTTTTTCTTTATTTTTAGTAAAAGAGCATAATATGATGAAAATGGACTTTTGCGTTCTCCATTTTTAGCACTGCGTGGAAATTAAAAATATGCTACAATACATCTTAGAATTATACAACGTGAGCAGAAAATATCGTATTTAAATATTGGCTCCTATCAAGGTCATTCCGTATCAGTAGTAACAAAATAATTAGAAGAAAACGTATTTCGATTTGCTAAACCGCAGAAATTTTGAGATGATTCAATAGATCCTTTAATGAAGAACCTGATGGAACACTATCTTAGTACCAAGAGCTGTATTAATTCTAACCATGAAATAAATATTAAACGAAATGGAAAATTTAGGTTATAAGGTATTTCTCTCGCCTTCTTAGCGAGCCTACGTGGTGTAGTAGTCTGCACGCTCAGTGCGTAATTGAGAGGTCCGTGGTTCGATTCCCGGGGAAGGCGTTGCTAACTTTTCATCTTGCCTGCTTCTAAAAATACCTAATGTCTCTACAAGTGTAGAGAAATCCGATGTCATACAGCGATAGCAGCGCCCTCACCTTAAGTAAAAAAGTTAGTTAGATGTTAGATGCTAGACGGGAATGGGGCATTAAGCTGTATCCTTTGATTAGTAGAATTTTCTGTATGTTGATTAATTAACTAATTAACTGTACATATTGTAAATAAATATTTAACTTAACCTTGTCGAATATAGATCAATTATAGATATGATGTAGAAAGATTTTAGATACGGTAGAAGTTTCGCTTTAGAAATGAAAACCCGTTTCGCGACAACAAAGTAACTTTAGAAAAATAATATACAGCATGGCTGAAAAGCACAGGAGCATCGTATGTAAATATAGATTTTGAGCATTGAGTCCAGTTCCTAAAAGCACATTCCAGTCAGAAGCTTAAAATATATGTCTCGAAGATAATTTTGTAATATAGAAACTGGTATGTCATTCTGGAAAATTGTGAATATAGAAACTGGTATGTCATTCTGGAAATAATTTGTCAAAATAAATTAAAAATAGCTGAAGATTTAAAATAACAGTATTTTTCTATACGCTGTGGATGAGGAGACGAAAAAGAACTCTAAATCTAACGCTCTAGCACTTTTTGCAAATTACGAGAAACTATTCAAATAAGAAAAAATAAATGGTTGAAACTTCTTAAAGCTTTTCAGTTGTACGTCTCAAGATCAGGCAGAATTCTTTGGGGATATATGACTTAAGTTTTTTCTTCAGAGAGATGTCTTAAGCTAGTTAGCAATCGTTTCTGTTATGTAAAATAGTTTTATATAACATAAACGATTTAATATTTATACTTGTACGTAAGTTGCTAATAATTTAAATTTAAATATGAAAGCACAATTAATAGTTAAATAAATTACAAAAATGCGTTCTTCCAATGTTATCAGAACAAGCATATTTATTATGTATTTTAATCTTACTTACCATTTTATGTAACATTTCTGATCTTTTTGAAGTTTTTTAAAAATAACTTAAAAATAATAAAGGACAGTTTTAAAATTTTTCAATCAGCCTTAGGCGTCGACCTTATAAAGAATGAGACAACAAACAGTTACATTGAAATGAGATTTCACGGTCAGTTTCAAGATTTAAAAATTTATTGATTTTCAAGATGGCCAATGTTTCAACATGTTTTTTAAATTCCTTTTGATACTTATATTTAAATGACAAGATCTGTGTCATCCAAAAGTATTTTTAATCCAGATGATCAGTACTTTCCAACTAATCTCTTACAACGACAAGAAAAATTTGAAATGAATATAAAAATATTTGTGAGATAAATTGTCCATCTACTTCATTTCACAAAAAGCTTAGTTGCAATTGAAAAAAAAAATTAATTCATTGCAAGGGGGAATTTTCAGTGCAAATTATATCTTTTTCACTCCCTCAAAGTAAGGTATGGAGCAGGGAAACAATTTTGCAGATTTTAGGTAGAAATGATATACAGTGTAAAAATTAATGAAAGCAGGATACAGTTATGGATGAGGTTCACCTCAATTGAATAGCTATTATAAACAGAACTTTGGACACTGAGGAACTGAGAACTCTTAGCGGTCTTGCATCCACAAAATGGTACGTAGTATGCATTCGAAGTGAATAAATGGTTTAACATTTGCAGAAGGTAGCAGAATTATTGGCAGTATCTGGAAAGAAAACATGCAACAATATGATCCACCGTTATTGGGTGACACGGAATTGAGCTCATCTTAAAGGTGGAATGAATCAATCTTATGTCAATTTAACAAGTATTTTGATTCCAGCCTTTATTATGATTTCTGCTTTCGGTATTACTCAACAGATTGCAAATTAGCAGTAAGTATTAAAACTGAGATTTGAGATAGAGAGTGCTTCTGGCATCGCTTGCGCGCTACGTGGTTAGTTTCCTGCTAGCTGTAATTATTCGACTCACTGTCGGTGTCTCACTGTCGATGCTTAAATTCTGACGTGCCAGCAGAGTGGCTGAATTAGCTTCTACTATAGTATTTAATTATGTAGTCTTTGACTACTGCTCAATGTTTAATTTCTGTTGGATTTATTTGCATCACCACGAGCTGTTGTTAGTTGTAGCCCAAGTTGTAGCCCCTTATTCTAAATTCTGTTTAAATGAAAAGTTTATTCCAACCTTAAGAGTTTGTTGCTGTTCTAAGACATAACAAGTCGCTTCACATCTGGTAAAGTTACAGGACTTAAGTAGCTCTACCAGATCAAATGTAACGCTATAAGGTAGTCCAAGGCTTCAATCTGGAAGTACCATTTAGTGAAAAAGTTAGATTTAAAACATTCAACTGGAATTAACATCGAATGGTCTCTCACTCTAAGCCTTAATACTTGTATTTCTTTCCTACGGGATTGCACTTAAGATTAAGATTAAAAAAATATTCTAAAATGCACTTAAAGAATTAAAGTCAGAAAATACTCGTTTCACTAAAATTGTAAATTCTGGCATAATACATATAGGCAATTATAGAGTTGAGAATTGCAGTCTATATCACTAAAGCTGTAAGAGACAAAATATTAGGTAATTTTGAACGGAAAACCTTATTTATTCCTTAACTGATTAAAATTAATTTGACTTAATTAGACTTGCAATTTTTATAAATTAATCCTTTTGTTTCTATCACGTTACTTGAGCCAGCATATAGGTATTATGTATTCCTAATCAGCAGTTATATTACAGATAGGATAATGCATGTTGGAATCTCATGTAATAAGAAACAAATTTTAAGTTTTGAATTACTTGAATTAAAATTAAAAAAATTTCTTAGGAAGTTTCGAATCTATTGTAAGGTTCAGCTTCAAAAATGTATAGATTGCTAATGAATCATGTATGGTAATATCTGGCGTTTGATACACTACTGCGTGAGAAAGTGAATGAAATATTATTGTTGAACGATATGTATTACGTAAAATT